TGTCGTTGAAACATGTTTAGTGGTTGTATCTACCAGAACTTGGTGTGTAGATACTGGAGCCACTGATCATGTCTGCAATTCATTGCAGGGGTTCCATGAAATTAGACGACTTAGGGAGGGAGAGATCACCGTCTACATGGGCGATGCTATGAAAGTAGCAACTGTTGCAGTGAGAGACATTACTTTATAGTTTGATAGGAGTAGTTTGGTTTTAAGAGATTGCTTTTATGTTCCTAGCTTTAGAAAGAATCTTGTTTCAGTTTCTAAACTTATTATGAATGTTTTTTCATTTACATTTGATGACTTGGTTATTGCTCGCTATGGAAAACGTTTCATTTGTTCTGGTTCATTAGTTGGAAATTTATATGTTCTTAAACCAAACCCTCCCACACTGCAACAAACTGAATTGAATAGTATCACAACTAAATCTAATAATAGGAGGGAGTCTTTGCAGATGAATCAATCATATCTATGGCACCTTAGCCTTATGCACATCAACCTTAGGAGGATTCAAAAGTTGGTATCTAGTGGACTCCTAGGTCCATTAGAAGATCATTATCCGACTTGCGAATCATACATGGAAGGTAAGATGGCCAAGGGGCCGTTTTTGGCAAAGGGGTATAGGAGCCAAGAAGTGCTAGGATTGATTCACTCTGACTTGTGTGTTCCTATGTCGATCCAGGCTAGAGGAGGTTTCGAGTACTTTGTCTCATTTATTGATGATTACTCTAGATTTGGGTACATTTATCTATTGCACCTAAGTCCGAATGCTTTAAAAAATTCAAGGAGTATCGGGCAGTTGTGGAGAAGCTTCATGGTAAAAGTATCAAGTCACTTTGATCTGATCGAGGTAGCGAATACCTCTTGAATCCCAACTAACTGCACCCAAAATGCCCCAGCAGAACAGGGTTGCAAAGCAAAGAAATAGGACTCTTATGGAAATGATTAGGTCGATGATAAGTTATTCAAAGTTACCATATTCATTCTGGGTATAACGTTGGAAACAACATCATATATCCTGAACATAGTTCCTTCAAAGTCGGTTGAGACTACTCTTTATGAGATGTGGAAAGGGCCCAAGCCTAGTTTCGCACAGTTTCGAGTATGGGTAGTCCTGCACATGTCTTAGTGCATTTATATATTGAACAAGATCCCAGAGAGGAGCAGTTCGTTTTATACGAATCGTCGTAAACAGACTAGGCCTCGGTTAATTATTGCATTCTCTAAACCCGTAAGATATTAAATAGACATACACATGCAGTATATATTGCATTAATTCACACGGGTAAGGTTTAGTGAACTAGACCAATAGACCCACTGTCTTGGGTAATATTGTTGTATGTATGATGTGCTATTAGGATACTTACGGTTACCATGTATGTTTCATTTGATGATGTCCCCGGAGTGAGTTCATGAAGGATTATTATGCTAAACCCTGCAGGTGGATTAAATTCCGACATAGTAAAAATGTGATGAACAATCGCTAGCTTCGGTGAAATAATAATAAATTAATTAATTCTTGATTATCAATAATCGAATTTATTAATGGACATTGTATCTTAAACATTAGGAGATAAGTCGAGTAATTATTATTGAGTCTCAATTGTAATTGGGCTAGAAAAAGAGAGTTCAATAATATTATGTTGGTGACCCATTAATATTATTTCATTAATTAGAAAAAGTGGGTTAACCCACAAGTATTTTAATTAATTAAGGAGCCCTATTCCTTATCTCCTAAAGGTCCCCACTGTAGCTCTATATATACATCATTAAGCTCATGGGAAGAGAAGAGAACACACAATAATTCATACGAGCCGCACGACCCCTCTCTCTCTCTCTCTCAGTTCTCATTCGAGCTTTATCTTCTTCTTGTTGCTCCACTGATACAAATTGAAAAGGGTGTTTCAGATATACAGTAGAAGATCTACAGGTATTCGAGACCCGATGATCTTTTACTTGTTTGACAATCAGTACAATATCAACCAGGATTCTACTGCAATGGGAGTTCCAGTTGAACAGTGAAAGAAAATATATAAGGTTTCTTTGTTTATGGGGTTTCAATATTTAATGACCATAATAGTGGATTTATTTATTTAAATTTATTATGTGAATTAAATGTTATTTATTTATTTATGCATGTTAATTAATTATTGTTCTTGCATGAGATTAATTTAGAATTACATATTAAATTATGCATGTTAATTAATTATTGCATTAACATGGAATAAATTTAGAAGTGCATAAATATTTAAATATGTAAAAATCCTCACTAAATTATACTAAGTTTGAGGAGGGAATTTACTAATTCATAAGGCCTCTTTGTTGGTAAATATTAATTGCGCGCGGTATGGGCTCCCCCTCGGGTGACATCACTAAAATTAATTGTAATAAATTACCAGGACAAATTTCTAATTAGACGATTAGAGAAATTCTTATGAGAGCGTACAAGCTTCCCCTCAGATGACGTATAATCGCATTTGATGAACTTAGAATCGAGAAATGAGATTCACTTAGAAAGCGAATAAATTTATTAACCCCCTCGAGGTCCCCGAATTCTACTGCATGGCCAAATGGAGACCGATTATTAATTTTGTTCGTCATGAATTTGGTTTTGACTTATGGAAAGTAATGGACCTTGAAAGCCCTTCTCTTGCGAATGTTGAGTTGTGTAGGGTTACCCTCGTATCATGCATTAACTCTCGGTGTTTTGAGATGTCAGTGGAATTAAGTTAATATTGTTTTGAGGATGCCAATATTAACAGTTAAATTCAATGTGTTTAATCTGTAAAATTACTTTCATGTTCCCAAGCTATATTCATCATATCGTTCAATCCGTTGTCTGTCATTCTAAAAGAAATCAACTTACAGGTCCTAATTACAATGATTAGAAAATGAACTTAGACATAGTGTTGTTAGCTGAGGGTTATAAGTATGCATCACTGAGGCTTGCCCGACAGAGCCCACGACCGATGCTCTTAAGCAGGATAAAGGAGAGTATGCTCGGTGGAAAAAGGCTGATGAGATGGCGAAGTGTTACATTCTGACATCTATGTCAAAATTTCTTCAGCATCAACATCAGTCTATGAACACTTCGACATATATGCTCCTCAATCTGAGGAATCTGTTCGGACATCAGTCTAGGGCTGCTAGGCAGGAGTCTATGAGTGCTCTGATGAGCATGCGTATGGCCGAGGGCACACCCGTAAGAGAGCATGCCTTCGGGGTTATGGCGCTACTCAATGAGCTTGAAGTTATGAGAGGTTTTATCGACAGGGAAACCCAGGTTGATTTTATGCTCCAATCTCTGCCGAACAGCTTTGATCAGTTCCGATTGAACTACAACATGAAAAATATGCATATGGCTCTTCTAGAACTGCTAGCATAGCTCCAATCGGCTTAGGCCTTATTCACTCAGGCTCCTCAGGTGCTAGTCACCGAGCAGGCTGGAACTTCCAGGCCCCACAAGGGCAGGAAGAGAAAGAAGTCTGCATGTAAGGCGAAGACACATGATACTCCGGTTACCCCGCGACCGGCCTCTCATGCAGTGGTAAAAAAGCTGAAAGGTAGATGCCACATGTGCAACAAGTCAGAACATTGGAAGGTTGACTGCCATCTCCTCAAGAAAGGTAACTCTCTCATTAATGTCGTTAAAACATGTTTAGCGGTTGTATCTATCAGAACCAGGTGTATAGATTCCGGAGCCACTGATCATGTCTGCAATTCATTGTAGGGGTTCCAGGAAACTAGACGGTTTACGGAGGGAGAGGTCACCGTCTACATGGGCGATGCTACGAAAGTGGCAGCTGTTGCAGTGGGAGACGTTATTTTATCTTTTGATATGAGTAGTTTGGTTTTAAGAGATTGCCTTTATGTTCTTAGTTTTAGAAGAATATTTTTGGTTTCTAAGCTTATTATGGATGTTTTTTTATATACGTTTGATGACTTGGTTATTGTTTGCTATGGAAACCGTTTCATTTGTTCTGGTTCATTAGTTGGCACTTTATATGTTCTTTAACCAAACTCTCCCACAATGCAACAAACTAAATTGAATAATATCATGACTAAATATAACAAGAGGAAGGAGTCTTCGCAGATGAATCAAGCACATCTTTGGCACCTTAGACTTGGGCACATCAACCTTAGGAGGATTCAAAAGTCGGTATCTAATAAACTCCTCGGTCCATTAGAAGGTTATTATCCAACTTGCGAATCGTGCTTGGAAAGTAAGATGACCAAGAGGCCGTTTTTGACAAAGGGGTATAGGAGCCAAGAAGTACTAGAATTGATTCATACTAATTTGTGTGGTCCTATGTCGATCCAGGCTAGAGGCGGTTTCAAGTACTTTGTCTCTTTTATTGATGATTACTCAAGATTTGGGTACATTTATTTGTTGAACCGCAAGTCCGAATGCTTTGAGAAATTCAAGGAGTATCGGGTAGTTGTGGAGAAGCTTCATGGTAAAAGTATCAAGTAGCTTCGATTTTCGCGAGGTGGCGAATACCTCTTTGGAGACTTCAGGACATACTTATCGAAAGCTGGGATTGAATCCCAACTGACTGCACCCAACACGCAACTACAGAACGGGTTTGTAGAGTGAAGAAATAGGACTCTTATGGAAATGGTTAGGTCGATTATGAGTTAATCAAAGTTACCTGATTCGTTCTGGGGTATGGCGTTGGAAACCGCATCGTATATCCCTAACATGGTTCCTTCAAAGTAGGTTGAGACTGCTCCTTACAAGATGTGGAAAGGGAGCAAGTCCAGTTTCGCACAGTTTCTAGTATGGGGTAGTCCTGAACATGTCTTAGTGCAGGAAGCTGGCAAGTGGGAGAAAAGTTCGGAAGCACGAGTGTTTGTAGGCTATCCCAAGGGAACGAAAGGTGGATTATTTATAGTCTTGAGGATCATAAGGTGATCTTTAGAACGAACGCTAGATTCTTGGAAAAACACTATATTATGAATCACAAGCCCGCGAGTAGACTAGTCTTAGAGGAGTTAAGGGGTGAAGACAATAGTTCCCCACCGAGTGCAGAAGTAGATACATCACATAGTACTGCAACACGACACACTGAGAGTATACTAGTACAAATAGTACCTCGTCGCAGTGGGAGGGTTTCTCATTTACCCGACCGATGGATAGGTCTTGGAAAGTCTTCGGGCTTAGTTCCAGGAAACCTAGAATCGGACCCAAGGACCTACAACGAGGCACTTCAAGATAAAGATGCAGATTCATGGAATGTTGCAATGAATGCTAAAATGGGGTCAATGGACTCTAATCAGGTCTGGGATCTTGTAGAACCACCCGATGGGGTACGACCCATTAGATGCAAGTGGATATACAAGAGAAAGAAAGGATCGGATGATAAAGTGAAAACCTTCAAAGCTAGGCTTGTTGCGAAAGGTTATACCTAGATTAAGAGTATAGACTATGATCAGACCTTTTCGCCAGCAGCTATGCTTAAGTCCATTCGGATTCTCTTGGCTGTAGCCACTCATCTGGATTATGAGGTCTGGCAGATGGATGTGAAGAAGAATTTCCTTAACAGGAACCTTCAGGAGAACATCTATATGCAGCAACCAGAGGGTTTCATTGCTAAGGGTCGTGAGCATCTAGTGTGTAGTCTTAATCGGTCTATTTAAGGACTGAAGCAAGCTTCAAGATCTTGGAACGTCCGATTCGATGAGGTGATCCAGTCGCACAGGTTCACTCAATTTCTGGATGAGCACTGTGTGTACAAAAAAATCAGTAGGAGCGTGGTGGTGTTTCTTGTGCTTTACGTAGATGACATACTTCTTATTGGAAACAGTAAGAAGGAGTTATCAGACGTAAAGGTGTGGTTGTCTAAGAAATTGGATATGAAGGAGTTGTTGGGTTCTGTTAGGAACGTCAAACAACATGCACAGTATTGAACTTTATCGAAATAAATCCTAACGCAGCGGAATCTATAGTTAGGATATGGACGTTTACCTTTTAAAATTTTTGCCGACTCTGAGACGATGTAGAGTACCGTTGGTGAAGTTCGTCTGAACACCACAACCTAATGGGCAGATAGGTTTGGCCTTTAGTTGATTCTAATCAACTCGTCAAACGGATCACGGACGGACGATGGCTAGGTCTCGGTCGTCGGTTGGCAGCGGGCGAGCGTGCGGACAGCGTGCGTGTTGATCGGGCGCGTCGGGCGCTGGGCAAACACGCGGA